GTCTCAGCAAGTTACCAACAGCTTTCTGACATTGCAAGCTTAACATACAGCAAAACTCTTGTATTTTTAAGTCAGTAAGAGAATATACGCTGTTTTTACAAAATGAAATTCTAAAATGCAGAATGTTTTTTTTAAACTGACTTCTAAGGATGTAAACCCACTCTCTCTAGTTTTGATATTTCTGTCTTAATTATTTAAATAACTGAATTAAATGTATGTAACAACAGAGGAAATCCCAAAGATATCCAGTTAATGACTGTTCATGACAAATAATTCCCTCTATCTCACTTTAATTACACCAAAATGAGGAAGACAACTATCTACCTAATGATTCAAGGGGGAAAGTCCCTGACCAAGCAGACATCTGGGCTCCAGAGACCTCAGGCATGGCAACGCTCACATGATGAGTGCCAATTCATTTATTTTCAGCCATGACAGAGTGGCTGGTATTGTTTTCACCTTTTGTGTGTGAGTGTGAGTGTGTGTGTGTGTGTGTGTGTGTGTGTGTGTGTGTTTGTGTGTGTGTGTGTGTGCTCAAGGCAAAATGTGGTCCTGAGACACATATTGTTGCAGTAACTATCACTGAGGTGGTCTTGAGTTCTTAAGCAGGAGTTTTTTTGTGTTTAATTGCCTGTGGACAGATGGACCCACTGTGATAACGTCATAACATGAAACATACAAAACTAAACTCATATCACAAACTGTGTAATTATATTAAACATAATTAATAGTATCTTATATGTCAAGCAAGTTCCACAAAACATACTGACAGTCAGTGTCAAGGAAGCATTATGTTTTATGTAATTCTAATATTATATATAAGATAACGAGAAGAATATGTTATTGGAGGAAAAAATGTTTTCGTACATTGTGCTTTTATGGGGAAAACCTAGACTTGGAGCATTATGTGCATGCCATGTGATCAATTTCCATCTCTTAGTGAAGACACACAATCCTGATGATGTCATGCGTCTAAATCTCTGTGTCTAACATAGACCTCGACTAATGTCACAACCTGCAGCACATCCTCTGGGAACCATAACACGCTGTGGCAGCTGGACAGCACAGGCATATGGCCTTTGTCTGATGTCCTAAGTAACATGCAGTCACAAAAGCATGCAAACATGCAAGCACACAGACACACACAGAAAAATAATGTTCCCAAGTAAATCATTACACCATTTAAACACTCTCCTTAATGAAAGCAATTTCCCTCATCTTCCACTTCCCCTCTAATGTTTCATACTGTCTCACCCTCTTCGCTAAGGTTTAATTGACTATTACGGCAGATGGGGTGGAGGTTGCTCTATGGGAATCAATGTCTTCATTGTGGAACTGAGAGAGAGATTAGCAGTTAGTTAGCAGTAGAGAGAGATGACAGCTGGCACCGTTAACCTCTCCTGTCACTCTCACTCTCTCACTCTCTCAAACACACTCACACACAGCCACAGGAAATACAAGTATAGAGTCAGTCTGTAGCCTAACTCAGCAATTACAAAAAAAGAAGTAAAAAAAGATCTATACCTGAAACCTGTCACTCAAACATTGAATGAATGAGGCCTCGAATGTTAATCATCTACAAACACTCGAGGATATTCCATTTTTGGCTGAGCTTGACATCTAAAGGGAAGAAGGAGAAAAGGCAATATTTCCAGTGTCAGTCAAGACTGAGGATTCACCAAGGTCTTATCACCGCAATAGAGGTTGGTTTACAAAAAAAATTCAATTAAGGGCTTGAATGTGTCTCAAGCTATGACTGGAAAACAAACCACAACGAAATGTCAGCATCATGACTAGAAGAATCAATCTACTATGGGAGAAAGACAAGAAAGCTTTGCCAGTGAGGCAGAGCAAATATTCATCGTGTGATATGACCTAAAAACAACAGCTGCCGACAACGGCTCCAGTTTAGTTAAGGAATGCAATACTTCATGCTGATCTGGCAGCAGTTGTTTTTTTATATATATATATCTTTGCTACAACAAGTAAAACACCCAAATGTATGTTTCTGAATCACTCATCATCTCAACTGTCCCTTTGTGAGGAGCTTCTGTACTTGAACAAAAGCCATACTCCACTGTAGGGCATATTTTAAATTAGATCTGGCTTCAGAGGCCTCATCTTTATGAAGAAAAAGCTTCTGAGTGTGAGCAAGGATTTTAGCTTTAATCTTGTAAAACTAACCAAACACTAAAGTTGGTCAGAAACAATTGTCACAAATTTTCTCAACAAATCCATTTAGATTTCACCAAACCACAATAAAACCAGAATAGCACTCAGTTGAGTGCACACCACCACCAAGGCCCAACAGTCCCCTCGATTTAAATCATATCAACAGATATATCAGTCCCTTAAATATGAGTTTTTTTTCATCAAGATCTCTATCATTTTTTTAAAAAACAACAACAAATGGAGAGGGGTGAAAACATTCTTTATATGGACACGTATAGGAATCTGCAGAATTAACTAGAAATGGTGTTTTCCTGCTTGAAATCAATGATTTTGAATTTCACATTTCCCATTGATAGTTTTTTACTGCAACATGCAACAGAAATATCAGCTTCAATCAAATGTAAATATTTTATATTATCTATACATGACAATAACCTTGTAGATGTTAATTACTAAAGCACGACGTGAAAGAAAATGTGGAATCCTTGCAAAAAACGAGTTTTTTAGCCCAGTAACAGATTCACTTGAACACTCATACCTAGATTTGCATGCATGTCTCTGTACACACACACACAAGTTGGTATTATGCAGCCAGTGTCCCATGAGAGATATTATTACATTTCCATCAGGGTTCCCACCAGGACTTCCATGCCTGGTCAAAGCAGACCAGAGCAGGAACACTAACAGGGCTCATGTTGCTACACAACCATCTTCAGAAAGCTGTCTCTTCCATGACTGGAGGGACTGAGGGTGTCGGTTACTTAGTTCCTTCTTATTCTGGGTCAAATCAAGTTCAACAACAGATGCTTCTCACAATCCCTGACACAGCGTGTTTTGACATGACACTGGGGAATTGACTTGATTTAAACATTTGCATGGTTCTTAATGTGCCGAGTGAATGCTATAACAAAAGGATTGTCAGCACCTTGGAAAACACACTGAGCAGATTCAAAATGTGTGGCTGTCTATTCGAAATAAAGCTGTTGAACTGTTAAAGCTGCAGCTTCATCCACTATTCTCTAAAGGGAGAAAAACGAGGATCTGACACTTGTGATCTTGACAGTCTCCTGCACTGCAAAATGTTAAAAACCCTGTTCTGTGATTAAATATTCATGTAACAGCACATCAAATTTTGGCTTGATCTTTCGGCTGATGTTCACCTAACATGGGAAAACATTAACATTTAACGAAAAATAAAAATCTTTTGAGATTAAACACGCAAAGTGCACAGGGAACAGTGGCCTTGTCAAAATCCATCTGCTCTTCAACAGGGGTAATATAATATGCCAACTTAGAAACAGCTGGGGGCAGATTTATTTCATCGGATATTTGTTATCCTTCTGTGTTCTTCAAACCATCAGCACAGTTGTATGGTAGCCAAAACATGGCTCAAACTATGCCAGTCTGTATGTTTAGTGGGATGGAAATCCATAGACATTTGAATGGATGAAGACACAGGTAGTTATGTGTTAAAATAAAGGTCTGGATATTGAATTATCTCAACCTGATTTGGCCTCTAAAACAGGCTGGGCCTTGCCTGTACGGATCTTGTCTTTGTGTTTAATCTTTGTTGAAAAAAAAAACGGTTCTTCTTTTACAGATCCAAAATTACTAGGTAGCCCTACAGTAGTTTAATAAAACGAACACACCCAAACGTGTCCAGATCCCATAGACAGTACTGACAAATACTTAACTGCAAACAGGTAATTACGTCTCGTTATTGAGCAACACCTTGCTCCGAGCACTCCCTCCCTATCTGGGGAGTAACAAAGGAGTAGGAAAAAGAGGTAACATGATATAGATGGATAGTGTGTGTCTAGTACTGCACTCAGACTGTGTGTAACACTGCAATTTTACTCTTCTGTTCCTTAAAACCAATGCTTATGGAATTATCAGTTACACCTCATTGCAATTTATATTTTTCTGCAACTGCTGCTTCTAAGCTTGCACCTTCTGTCTTATCAGCTACTGTTCCCATTTAATAAAAACTCAGTGCGTGAATGAGTGAGTCCATGCATTCATCTAAGTCTGCATGAGCAGTAACGTGCACTGCGGAGATGGAGCTGTAACATGAGGAGGCTACACTGACTGTCACCTTTTTCTCGGGTGTTTCACTGCTCCTGTCAACTCTTTGATATTCCATGCCTGTGTAAAAAGCCCCTTCACGACAAGCGTGCCTCCATGTATCCAATTTGTTCTTGATGTAAAAAAAAAAAAAAAGCATTGTGAGATTCATTTGGATCTGTGCAAGCCATTTCTGTAATCTGAGGACAAAGGATATGGGTAATTTGTTGGTTGACAGGGTGTAGTGTGTTATGTTTGCAGGGGATGTAATAAAATACACTCAAATTACAAAACTGCTTTGACTCAGTACATTCAAATCACTAATCTGCCTGAGGTGCTTTTAGTTATGATATATAAATAACAAGAGTACAACATCTTTTGACCTTAGGCTACAATATTTTTTTTTTGAATTTTACATGTCAGATACAACCGTTTCTGAGCTACACTCGTCTCTGACATGGTCTGTTTACACTGAGGTTCTTTTGTCCTCAGCAGGTGTGACACTACAATGTGAAACAGCAGGCGGTCGCTTTGTGGCTGTTTCAATTACTTTTTGTCACAAAGAAATATGTACATTTGGTAAATAGTAAATGAACGTTTGATTCCTCTCAAAATGTTAAAATGCACCACAATATAGTTTCCTGCTTCAATGTGTTTTATGAGCACCGTGTCATCTTAGAAGCAGCTATCAAATGTCCCCATGTGCTGTGACACTGATACATGCAGCATGCACTGCCTGAATGACACACACACAAACAACCTACCTCCATGGCTAGAGCGGCTGTCTGCTGGTCATAGTGGTTCAGTAGATTGGGCATAAAGGTGGTGTTGTAAGGCAGATCCTGGCACATTCTCAGTCTGATGGGCTCACAGCTGAACTCACTGTGGCTCTCTATAGACTCCATTTGAATGGACAGAGCGGGTGTAACCAGGGAGAGGTGTAGTAAGACCATAGAGATGAGGGGGAAAGAGAAACAGACAGATACTCGCTGTCTGCAGTAGACTGCTGTCGTTTCTGAAAACCAGTCTTTCACACATCCTCTTCCAACTTGCGTCTTAATGTCCGACATTTTTCCACGGTGGCTCATACTGATGACTTCCTCATCCCCCAGAATTCCACTGGATGGCCTCGAAGACATGCTGAAATTATTTCTAAAGTTCCTTAACATGAGAAGCAGAGTCCATATTTAGGGGATCAGCACTGGAGGTGGGTACACTCGGAAAATAGACCCCCAACATCACACGTGGCAGAGTATAAGTTCATCTGTAGCCCATGGATGAATTGCAGTATTTTTGTAAAGCGTCTCAAAAGATTTTTTATTTCTAAGTCAAAAATAACATGATGTCTCTCAATTTCCCGGGGCTCCCACAGTCAAACACAGATTCCTCTTGTTCCATCCCCAATGGGAGCATGTCCCTGGAATAACAGACGTCTGCCTCTTCCTTCCTCACTCTCGCTGTCTGAAGTAATATTTTGCGATCCGCAGTCCACAATGTGTCACCATCCTCCACAGGAGCTTGTTGATTCCTCTGCAAGTCCCAAAATGCTGCTTCTCCACATGCAGTTGCAACACTGGATAGGATTTATCAAGCAGGTCCTGCAGGTTTAAAAAAAAAGAAGAAGACACAAAGCCAGATGGTCAAACAAGCAGAGAGAGAGAGAGGGCTCAGAGTAAAGTTGCAGTGTATCAGGTGTGGACTCTGATCTGCCACACCCTGGTTGCTACACAGATTCAAACATCTGATGATGGTCACTGAAACATCGACTGGTACACATGTGCGAGTCTAAAAACGGCGCAGTGTCACGTTCTCCTCGCGCGTTCACCCTCAGTGTCTCTGCTGCAGACTCATGAAGACACGTTCAAACAAACCACGACGACCAGCGCCTGTTTGAAGAGGCGGCCGCTGCACCTGCGGAGGACCGGACACTCCCCCGCTCTCGTGTGTGTGTGTGAGGTTGGCCGGGCAACAGTCGCGCTCCCCCGCGATGTTTCACACTCCAGGGCTCGGTGTCTGTGCGGTTCACTGTACACAACTAACTTCAGCCAGGAATAAAAGCTCGGCTAATACAACATGGCGGTTGAAATAAACAAATGCGGGGAGCTCTGTTATGAAGTTTGAACTTGCACCTGCGTCAAACTGGCCCATTGCACGCGCGCTACCCTGATAGCGAGTTAGCTAGCGTTAACGTTACCGAGAACCGATATCGATCCAAGCGAGCAGCTCGTAACCCGGTGCTCGGTCAATGTGAACGTCCTCACTGCTCAGTCAGAGGATAAACCACGAGCAGCTCTGGAAGCACGAACCTTTCAAACGTGGGCGTCCTCGCGGCACCGAGGACACAACCACACACGGTGACAAGCCGGGGGGGTCACCGCGGAGGGAGCGCATCAATCCTGAGGAGCTGCGTGTTTGTCACCGCAGCGTCTCCAGCGCCGCGTCGCCCAGTTCGTGCACATGATCCAGAGTCTGACTGGCTCTCCCGCAAAACGGATGAAATGAACGAATCGCGCACTTCCTCCGTGACATTACATTTCTAAACAGCTCACCTGGTTTAAAGAGCAGCGGGCGGTTGGGGCGCTCCTCCGCCGGCTCCGCTCACTGCAGCACCGCGCTGCTCCTGCTGCTCCTGCTGCTCCTCGGTTTGCAGCTGGTTCCCTGCAGCGTGCAGACCACACATCGTGACCGCGGATTCAGCGTGGCCGCGCAGAGACGCTACAAAACGGTCCCCAGTGGACGTGTTGCATGGACACACTGCGTGCACGACAGTATTGAAACACACTTAAAGTGCGGGCTTGTTGGCTAGATGAATATGCATATTGTGTGTTTAATCTTAATAAAGACAGAATGGACAGATCGGAGATGCTTTTAATGATGCTCTGCAGTTTGCTGTCATTAGTGGACACAAAGCTTCAGCAGCAATGCAAGCTGTGTATGTTTGTGTTTTTAATTTTATTCCACTGGTTTAAGGTCCTGATTTGAAGAGGAATTGTTTGTGAATATCGATGCATCCACCTTCATTTGACATTCAAATGTGTTCTACCGTGTTAATGCATTAAATGGTGCGTATGTGACTACAGTGTATTTATGTGTACTTCAATCCTTTTATGGCTCCAGAGCCAGCAGGGGTTCATGCATCATTCTCAAGGTCACATAAAAGCCATTTTGTGGGTTAAATGGGATCTAACCTGGGATGCACACATGACACAAGAGTGTGTGAAGAAGCACCAGACACAACATAGATTGTGGAAACAGAAGGCCTGGAGATACTAACTCACTCACTCACTTGGGGTGCTCAGTGGAGGGACTACTAAATGAACAATATAGGCCTCCATCCGTTTTTAAAAAGCAACGTTCAATCAACGTTGCAAAATACACGATTTGAGAGTCTACAGTTTCACTGAATCAAGGAGAAAGATGAGTAACTGCACAGTGTTTGTCCTAAGAGCTTGAATTTACCTTGTTTTGAAACAAACAATAGAACCAGAAAAGGTTTTGGATTATCCATTTAACCACAATGAATGAAAAATTGACAGTATATCAATAGAGCATCAATATATAGTATAGTATGCACATGAATATATAAAGTGATTACTTAATTTTATTTGGTCCAAATCCATTAAATTCATTACAGATTTACCACAGAGAGATGGAGACAGTCGAGGGAAAGGGTTCAATCTTCATTACCTTTATTTCAAGAAAATAACACAATCTCAGGGATAGTGTATGTAATAATGAAAACCATTTTCTAAATAAATGATTTGATAAATCGTTTGATCATTTTTTAAGAAAAAAAAGAATTATGGTTCATTTATAAATCAATTACATTCTATTAAGCTTAGCTAAGGGACATCTATTATTTCACTACATCGTCCAAGAGCAAAATGAAAATGCACTTAATACCAAAATGATAAAAACGGACCTTCATTGAATATTATGTCAAATTACTTAGTTGAAATCACTTCATTCCTCCTGATATAACAATAACTTTGAAATGTCCTAAGACGCATCTTACCTTATATTCATCCTGTGACTTCAAATAGAATTATTATTTTTAAGAGTGACATCACAGTCATGCCGGATGAAACAGCCACACAGACATGTTGTGATGATATCACACGACACTATGTCAATATTTATCCCTTACAGCCTCAGGATTAGTGCTGCGTGCTATGATTCCCTTCCACACGATTGAGCACGGCACTAGATTAACTGTTTCATGGCTGATCTGATCTGATCCTCTCTGTAGTTGGGTTGTGGGGGGGGGGCTAGGGCTGCTGGCCCACATACTGGTAAAACCTCTTAATATGACCCTACTTGACATTAAACCCACAATGTATAATGTACAGAGGCGCTCAGTCCATAAACATCTAAGCTGCAGTTTTGATCTTTTTAAGAACATCCTCTTAATACCCCCACCACACTGCTTTTTAACAATCTCAACTGTCTGTGATGAGACCTATGGTGACTCTGGGGTCTGTATTTGCAAATTCTGACCATAGTTCTCAATTGTTTGATCACTTGATCACTGCATGTGTCTTAGTTGAGTTAGCACCTACAAAATAAAACATTTACATTTTTAACATTTTGCTTCATGCCCCTGTGGATTAGAAACCCTAACATATTGTTTAAAAAAATGGTGAAATGTAATAATTCTAGCACCAAGCTCACAAATAATGTTTTCAGATAAAAGTTAAGAATGAAAAAGTACAAAAAAACAAACAAACATGAAATGTAGTACAGTGGCTGTGTCTGTGATATGTTCATCAGCCACAGTGGATGCTAATGAACATTTCTGAAAACTGGATTTGTCTAATAATATAAACTAAAAGCCTGTTTAATTCAGTTTGAAGATAAAAGCTGTATTAAAGATAATTTGGTATTTTAATGCATCACACACTTTACATGACATAACTTAACATAACAGTCAGCTCCACTGAAGAGGTTATGTGTTCCTCTGCATTTGTTTGTCTATCTGTCTGTGTGTTAGCAAAACTACGCAAGTCTACTGGACGGATCACCACGTAAGTAAGTGGGACTATGCAATATGGGTCAAGAAGAAAGTAATGCAATTTTGGTGCAGATCCAGACAGGAAGGAAGATCCAGGGATTTTTCTTCACTTTCTTCAACATAAGATTTCAAAAATGTTTGTTGATCTCTCAGAAAAATAATGAACGATTCTTGATGTAAATAATCAGACAGGTTAAGGGGAGTAATATTAATGAGTGTGTGCAATTTGGTGCTGATCCAAATAAAAATCAGCATCTAGTGAATTTAAAAGTGGTTTCATAAAGGGACTGTTGGGCCTCCTTGGCATTGGTATGCACTCTCCTAGGGCCATGTAAATTTGTTATTTGTGAATATATTTAGACAAACGTTGAAGAGTATTGTTATAGCTCAGGTAAAAGAAAATATATAATCTGGGTAAAACAGTTAAAATATAATACACACACTTAAAAACAAAAGATAAGAGATTTTGCTGCAATGTGAAAATTAGTTAATACAAACTGAAATAATCCTGAACTCAGCTTAAATATTAATACTTTTGCAAAAATGAAATTGGACTTTCTTCATGAACAAAGCTTACAGACTATAATATTATATTAATAGTATTATATAATATATCTAATATATATTTTATGCTTCGTATAAAAAGACATGCTTGGCTTAACATACCTGGTAGTGCAAAACAGCCAAGGTGGGATACTGATAAGACTGGAAAGATTATTGATTATTGATACTGTAGCTTCTACACTGAATCTACACTTTGGAATGCACCTGCTAAACATACAGATGTGGGTTTTTTATGTGGAACTGTAAATTTATTTATAACTTTCATTCATTAAGTTTCATCAGGTACATATGGATGAAATCGGCTGCCTTCTCACAGCTGTACATAGAAGGTAAACAGTTTGGTTTATATATATGGTCGTACTTAACCACCTGGGAATCAGGGTGAAGCTTCATGACACCACAAAGCAAGATCCAGACTGATTCCACCGCTGCTCCACAGTGACACTCACCCAGCTGAATGCAGGGCAAACTGCACTAGTCTTAATATCAGTGCAATGATGGCGTTTGGGTTATGGCTGTGCTTGCCTTCATGGAGTTATATCCTTCCTGCATGGTTTTTGTTCAGTTAGGCATCAGGGTTGAGGCGCTGTCCAATCAGACGTTGGCTGTGTGGAGAGCACTCAGCCTCTTCCTCCAACTGGAAAAGAGAATGACGGGACGAAGAATGAATTGAGTGTGTTTGTATTTTCCTTTGACCTACAGAGACTGATCAGGTGGGACAATCTGTGGACAATTGTATGCGTGTGTTTGACTGTGACGAAGTGTGTGCATGTCTTAATCAAACAGACATTCAGACACACACCACAGGTAAATCCCTCCAGTATATCCTCACCCCCACACAGAGACACACCTGCTCTTTGATGTAGCTGTTCCCACAGGGTGCCAGCCCCCTGAGAGCCAGTCCAACGATGAAGCACCAGAGAGACAGTCCGAACTCAACCGCTGACAGGACAGCACACGGAACCCACAATGCCAGGGTGGTGTCCTACGAGACAGAAAGTTATGGAGACACGGAAAATAAAGAAATACATATAAAAAATAATACTACAATGTTGAGCACTTGCGGCTTTAACTATAAAAAACATAGACTATATATAAAGATGAACGATGCGTCTCCACTTCCTCCAACTATCCAGAAATGAAGTCAGAATATCCTTCAAATATATTTGGATCCAGACGATAAATGCGCTCGACCACTTATGAGTCAATCATGAAATTTCACCCTCCTTTTATAGCATCAAATAACTAATTAATACCAAACGTACCGGAAAAATGAACACTTGAACAACTGTATAACAAGTGTAAACGTCAGTATAATAAAAACTTCCTAAATTACAGACACCATCTTTGAGAAAAATGTATTTGACTTGTACTTCATGTCCCATTCACTAACATGGATGAGGCGAGGTTTATGACCTAAACAGCAGCCAGCCAACTAGTGGCGGTGGAAACCCTCTGACATTACATGTGGGGAGCGGTCATGTCCATCTTTATAAACAGTCTATGGTAAAAACTAAGGGGAAAAGCAGAAGGATCGAGGAAGGTAGAACTTTTTAAATAGAGGAAAATGGAAAAGGAAAGTTTACACTCACATAAATTCGTGTTGTGTCAAAAGGGCACTGGGCACTGACTGGTGACCGAGCGTTGATGGGCACCTGTGTGTCGTTACACCCCAGCATCAAACCTTGACCACCGTGGGCAACAGTGATACCAATTGCAAGGAGGAGACCTGTGCAGCACGCTGCTGAGAGCAGGGCGTTCAGGAATGACACAATCATAAGTCCTATTTGCTGGAGACACAGAGACGACATCATGTATAAAGAGAAGAAGAGATTCAGGGGATGAGTGACTGAAGTGATCAGACCGGTTGTTGAGAATAAATCTAATTCTTACCAGCTTTATCACATGGATGTTTCTTGACACCACAATGGCAATAATTCCACTGGTAATGCTCTGTAATTTGAAATGACGACATGAAGTGTATTTCACAGAAACATGACATTATCATCAACAACAACTGGCAGTTTATCTGAAACCTCAGTGTAATGACGCCTGCCCTAAAGCGACTGGTTTGAAAAACCAGCTCCTTATTAATGGGCAAGTTTAGTCTTGATTGCTGACAGAGATTCACAGCACTTTAACAGAGGAGCAAATCATCTGTGAAAGCTGAGTTTACACTTGTAGCTCTGAGTCACTGACATGAATGACGACGCAACATTAGTTTATTGGATGAATCATCAATTTCAAAGTAAAATATGGAATAATTTTTGTTTGTCTTTTGAAAGTTCTATAAACCTGGGGTTCCTCAGTTTCTTCACCTAATCTGCTCAGAGGATTTGGCAGGAATATCATCCACTCACCAGCAGGCCAGAGGTGACAGAGACGATGTTGGCTACAGTGTATTCAGTAGAGATTTGCTGACTGGGTTTGGAAATGTGGCGGAGGACATTGCCATGGACAATGGCTCCGAGGATGAAGTTAATGTGGCCGACCAGGATGAGAGTTAATCCCTTCTTCATCAGCCTCCTTGGCCCTTTGTCCTTATCTGGAAGACAGACATACAGCACAATATACTATTAACACACTTCATAGAAAAATAGTGCGACAGCTTGAAACAGGAAGTATGGAAGAGCCCACTCCTTCATTCCGTGTTGTGGACCAACTGATTTGTGGATGATAGGTAACATAATTCAACTTTTTAAACAGTTTAAAAAGTCTGATAAAGATATATTGGCAAATTCTTTTGGACATAAACAATCTTTGTCAATATAAAAAATAAATGTGACCAAGACACAAACTAAGCTGATCATTTTACAAGTTAATACATTGACTAGTCAGTATCCTGCGGAGGAAAACCTGCAATATGAATATTATTTCTAAAGTACCTCAAACCAAACATGACATGTATACATTACAAATTATTGTTACTTATTGGCTGACATAAGGCAAATTAATATCAGCTATTTGATCCATCTAGCTTTATACTGTGAGTTGAAGTGTATAAGAAGATACATTCACATCAGCTGATATACTTCATGTATACTTTGATATTGATAAATTTTCTTTTTTGAAGGCCTTGGTTTCGGATTAACGTTTTATTCTGGTGGTAAGCGGTTGTCATGCAGATTGAAGCGCGGACACACACGAGCAACAGATTCATTTACACACAGGAGCTTGTTGTGAGGGATTCACAGAGATGAGGAGGTAGCGTCCACATGAACGATCTGAGTTAGCAGCTCTTGAACCTTGTCACACATTCAAAGTGTTCAAAGTGAAACCGTGTCGGGCCACCAGCAGGCCTGTGGTCAGATAGACACACGGAGGGAGAAGCACTGAGCTGCGCCATTACTGACCGAGGAGCAGCACCGGGAAACTCACACTCACCGAACGTGCACATCTCTGCGCTGCGCCAGATGTTTCCCGTCAATCAAAGCAAGATCTGCAAATTAAGAGCAACTCCACCGACACAAACACACACCAACACACACAGAGACAGAGGAGTCCACGGACTGTGTCCACGGACCGTGTCCACTTCCTGTATGACGTCACTAATCTCACCTGTGAATTACCTGCAGCTCGCTGGACGCTGAGGGGCGCAACAGTTCACACCTGCTGTGAGCTCCTGTGATTTCACTCCACACTCACAAAACCAGTCGAATGACACAGTCAAGCACTTTACACATTTATTTGAAAGTGTCACACTTTGCAGGATGCAAGTCTCAGAAAAGACACACATTTATTCACATCCATGTCAAATACAAAATATTAGAACGTCCAAATAAAACCCGAAGCTCAAACCCTGGAGTAACAGGCTAAAGCTGCCCATCCCATACAAATGATAACTTAATTAACAGTTTCAGCAGCACCAATCATTTTGGTGGAAAAGATGTTACAGAGAAAGAGAGAGAGAGTGGGGGGGCAGAGACAAGACAGAGTAAGAGTAAAGCTGCCCTGGTGATCACATTGGTTGGTTTTCACCACTTCTCTACACCAGGAGTGGTGCATTTACATTCTACTGGCTAATTTGAGAACATATCTTTGGGATTTACAATCAAGAACAGAGTAAACAATGCATTGAGATGGACTAGACATGTTATGTGCAGGAAAAAGAAAATGCAGATTGAAGCACATGGATACCTGAATACATAAAAAAGGAACACTTCAAAAATAGAAAGTGGAGGTCATTGGATTCATATTTCAGTGATTTCACTGTATATAATTCAAAATCCAGCATTAGAGGAAAGCTCTGTTTGAAAGCTCGTACAGAGGTTTTCAGTTAAGCAGGGAGAGGAGCAAAATACAAGGACAAGAGAAGTAACTGTATGAAATAAGATCTGAACAGTTGTTTTTCCACACATAATCAGAATATTATATTTTCTTTACATTCTTACTGCCTGTTAAAGATGTTGAACTGTGTGAGCGTTCAGACACAGTAGTACCAGTAGTGCACAAAGAGTTCTGGGCCAAAATGTCAGGCATCAGAAAACTCCTTGATCGAAATAAAGGTCTAAACAAGGTCTGTATTATGTAAAATGATGTATTAAAGTTTCAAAGCACTTTGTGAAGGATGATGTAAATCCACTATATCCCACTTTTATCAAATGCTCTGTTATGTGACCAAGTTGTGTATGGGCTCACAAAACAATGTCGTTTCCATGTGAAACAACAGTAAAAAATGGAAACATGTAAAGAAAAACATGATATACAGTATCTGTAACATGTATAAAACATGAAATTATCACAGAGATGTAACGGGAAAAGGCAGGTTTCTCTCTCTACAGCATATGGCAGCCATGATCACTACACACGTCACATGTGAATGGATTTTAGGCAGAGTAACATGTGTGAACCCAAAAAGCAGCAAACGGTAAAACAGTCAATAAAAGAATAATAAGAGTAAAAACAAATAGAGAAAGGAGAACTTTAAGGCATCTGTGCAGGCCACCCACATTAAGGCAAACAGTGGAGCGTAATAAGAAAAACAAAGACACAAACGAAAATTCAGTAACACTGAGTTCACAGTACCTCACAGTAGCTATCTTCCAGAGAGAGTTGGCAAGACACTTTACCAGAATGGGATATGCAGCAATGCACATACATTTTGTTCTGTATCAAAGGCCTTTAAAAAATATTCACCGTAGGTTTTTATCTATTAAAAAATAACTATGGTTTCCAGCTTTGCAATCCAGTTTCTAAACTATTCTATATATTTAATTTGATAGGTGATAGTTTGGTCCAACACTTCACAAAAGTCAAAGAGCTGGGAATGTTTTGTTGTACGAGGTAATAAAAAAGAGCCAAGTGAGAGGGGGAAGTGAGAATGGATGAACATTCTCACTTCCCCCTCTCACTCATCTGTAAGTTTTCTTTGGGTAGAAAGTGTCTCTGTATTTCTAGGGGAGTCAGTTTTGCTGCTGGTCAAAACATGAAGGTCCAACTATTATAATTGGGTACACCACTTTAGTGGTGAGTTAGTAAGTGGTGTGACTCCAGGGAAGGCCTCAATCAGTTATGATGTTTTAGACCAGACAACACATAATCTATTACAAAATAAACACCTCACACTAAAATGCAACTGTGTGCTTGTAAAACAATTGGATTTCATTGTAAAGCTGTAAGAAATCTAGACAATAATGTTGTGATCAAGTGTGTTGCAGCATTAATGAGGTTTACTTTTTAAATAAACTTAACAGCAAAGATCAAAGTTAGCTCATTCAAAACAATCCAATCTGTGGAGGAGTGTTTCAAGGGACTTTGGGGGCCACAGACAAAAAGGCTCTTTACTGAACCAAACTGAACCCCACAGTATCTTACAAAATTGTCATTGTTGAGGACTAACAAAATCAGCCGCTCTCAGTTCAGGGGCCCCGGGCAAATGCCTGCTCTATCAACCCTGAATCTATCTATATAGAGTATATGTACTTACAGAATGTGTGAAATCTCTGTCGGTGGCTTTGGAGTAAAACTGGCTTTACATGAAAGGTTAAGTGCGCTTTTAGGAAGCATTAATCCCCTTTTCCAAGGAATAACCCTCGAGTTTTGGTCACATTGCTAACTACAGCTCAGTATACAAGACAAAACAACCCCCCCCCCCAAAAATATAGTCACTGAGTTGAATATTCAAAAACAAATTGTGTAACAGGGTTGAGAGATTGTACTTAGATGGAGACATGGTTGAGGAAACCCTTGCTAGTGAAGAGCTTGACTGCAGCTTTCTTCTAGCAGACAGGCAATTTTGTTTTGGTCCAACTGTGAGGGGAAACAAAGAGAATACATATTTTCAACAATTCAGGATGTTAGAAAAATAAACTGACCTACTAGATACTAAAGTTATATGCTGACATTACAGTTAAGAGGATGGATCGTTATGGTGTGGGTCTTCATGCATAAACCCCCACCCATAGATAGATCCAGAGACGATACACATGAGAGGGGAGTTGTGTGCATACTAAATTGAGTGGGCACCAGAGCACTTACTTTATAAAACAGTTAATGTGCATAAAGGGAAGGTGTGCTGATGGGGTATGAGGTCACCTTTTAAAATCTAATGGATTTGCAAACACTTTGCAGAAAAAGCCAGCTACCACCCACCTCACTGATAAAGCACAGTTGCACCAACTCTTCAGCCAGCTCTTGACCAGATTCATCTGAAACACACATAAGTGTAGTTAGTCACTAATTCATGGACATGTAACATCATGACATAACAGTATTTCTGATGGAATTATGCAAATACTACACCACTCACACAAAAATACAAGGACAGACTGAGGCACATTCAGAAAAATATTGACCAGCTGCTGCTTTTAAATCCAAATCCCACCTTAAACACATTAGCAACCACCAAACAGCTGATCCTGCTGTTGCTCTCTCATCTGTGAGCCCACTTTGTTGTTTCATAATGCCATTTTAAATTGATTTCTGTGGACATTTAACATTAAGTGACATTAGTTACAGTTGAAACAACAAAATGGGACTCATCTGACAGGAAAATTAAAAAGCCAACATGTTTCAGATAGCACGGTCTCATTCGGGTACGTTAATACGCTTTTGTTTTTAAAATATTGCGCTATATTCAAGGCTTAATGATTGGATGGACTGATCCTTATTCTTACTACAACTTGTCCACAACTTTATGTCTGGGCTAACATTTTACATTTTCTAATTTTCATTCTAGCCTTTAATGCTTGTCCCCAAAATCTTAATTAACTCCTAACTCATTCAAAGTTTTCCACTTAGTTTTTCTAGTTTAAACAAAAAAATCTTCACTCCAGGTAGGACTTCTTTCAAGACCCAACTTTTGAACAGCTATGCAGGAACAAGATATCTTGGGAAAAGCAGATTAAGATTTCAGCAATGTCAGTAATCCATGTTGTAATGCAGCTGCTCAACTTTTTGTGATAAAAAATAACCCCTCCTTTTACTGTGCTGTCCTGTTTTTGTAATGAATGAATAGTATCTAACAAAAGTGTTTTTTATTATTACTTTAGTAGCCGCCCCTATAGGGACTTTCTTTTCCTGTGAGCAGAGAACTGGTCAGGGTCGACTGATTTTTAATAACCAAGCTGTCAATTTACAACTGAACCAGGAATGTGGCTGGAACAAGACAAACAAGTGGAGGAGATGGAGCATCCAACAACTTTGACATTAACAAAAGAAAGCTGTGGGAAAGAAAAGACTTCCCTGCTGATTCGTGGTTTGATATAAAACCATACAACAAAAAGAGTTTCGTTTTGAGAATAAAAACAAGCTTCAATCGTGAATTCTCTGAAATAAGTTGTAGGAGAGACAAGCAAAAGGCCAAATGGGTGAAATTTAAGTGGCTTGGTTAGCTCCTGACCCAAGACAGATTGACTTTGGACTTTGTCTTGTTGATAAGAAAACCTTTGGAAAGAATATCCCCTGATATCAGCAGGAGCGACTGTTAACAAAGGAACAGGTAGTGTCTGTGAGATTGACTAAGTGCAGTGGTGTACATGGATGAGAATGTTCAGTATGTGTGCCAGTGGTATTAGGTGGTAGTGTGGAGAAATGGAGGAAGAGCAGAAAAGATCAAGTCCAGTGAAAGTGGGTTAGTGTGTGTGTGTGTGTGTGAGAGAGTGTGAGAGAGAGTGTGAGAGTGAGTGTGAGAGTGAGTGAGAGAGAGAGAGATGAGAACCTGGAGGAGATGGACAGATCATGACATAGGAGGTGACAGCTGTCAGCTGCAGCCTTTCACAGGCCCAGCATTCCCCACACGCCTGCAACGTTATACATGCCTACCATACCTGCGTGTACATGTGCACATTGGACCATGCTACCAACATTATTCTGACCAGGGCAACAGTTGTGCTGTGTGTTATTTTCTCTTTTGCCTTGCTTGCCATACGTGGCACCAATAAAAATACTGAAACATTGGTGTAAAATGAAAAGCGATAAAAACATCAGGATTTCTCACGATGGCTCACTTTTGTTTTACAAAAAAACATTTACAACAGAGTCAAAGATTTTTACAGTCATTCAGAAACGATTTGAGGATGCAATCCGAATAAATTTTCAAAAATGGAGGGGCAAGGTTTTTATGACATGCAAGCGACAGTCCCTCAGCTTTAAATAGTCTTGCACGCTACTGTATATTGTGATGCCATGTGAGTTTCAAACTCTCTGGAATCTCACTCTCACTTTCCTGCATGCCTCTGATGACACACATGGAGAGGAAGTGAACAATAAAACCACTGTGTGTGGTAAAACTGAGAGAAGACTGGACTTGCCTACACAATAATTCATTCAGAAATAATCATATCATTTAATTATATTCATTAAAATCTCATAAATTTATGTCATCGTCATTAAAACCAAACTGTAGAACTAAACTGTCCAGATGGACAAAATGACTCTACTCAATAAAAACGACATGAAATACATGAATACAAAACTACATGCACAACTACATGGATGAGTGTTTTTATTTCAGACAAAAGTAGAGCCTGACTGGTATGGATTTCCTAATACACTAAACTGTATGTTTAAGCTCAATGAGTATGTGCCAGTGTGTGATACAGAAGAGTTGTTCTTACTGGGTAACATGTCACAGCTTAGATGTCTGTTCAGTTTATCATCCAGTTTCAGCAGTAATGTTAGCTAAAAGAGGAGAGACAACAGAGAAAATGGTTTGAATGCACAGGAAATAACAAATAGCTTGTTTATCATCATGGTTGGTCAACTTTAGAGTTGCTGCATATAGTTGCATCTAGCTGTGAGGTTTTAGATTGCAACCAACGGAATAACCCTCCCTTCATTGCTCTTTCCAAGTGGCCTAC